ATTTAATTTTGGTTGAATAACGAAAAAGGAAAAGAAAAAAGTGATATGAAAGTGCTAAAATATTTGTACGGTGTGCTGGTTAATCTGTGGATTTAGTGTAAAGATCTGTGGGTAGTGTTAGGAGCCATTCATATAGAAGATCTGAATATCAACTGGTCCAAGGCTCAAATATGGCAGACTGTACATGAGAGGAACCTAGTAATGGCTTCTCCGCCTGTCACATGCCTCCCCACACCTCTCCACGTGCCTGGTTGAAAGAAAATGAGATTTAATTACTGTACCTCTGCAGGGACCATCCCTGGGGAGGGGTGTGAGAAGCAGAGAGACTATAACAGGATTATAAGCGTAGGATCCGCCATATTTGTTCCTTGGACCAGTTAATACTCGGATCTTTTATTCTGAAGGGCCCCTTAGGGTTCATTCCCAGAGATTTAGATCGATCCAGAGATTAAGATTTAGATCGACCTAACTCCCTGGGGGTTCACGCTAAATTGCAGTCAGCCGAGCACGCACCATATTTAATTACCCCCTTATAGCTTTTAGTAGGCGGGACAGACGCTTAAGCCGGCTAAGCTGACAGTAATCTAGTGAGACCCCCCACAGGGATAGATCAATCTAAAATCTATGGGAATGGGGTCTTAGTAAATGCCTTATCTGTTTCTAAGGCCTGGAACCCTGCCTGTACTGTGTGGAGGGTCTAAGGGTGTGAGGTGTGTTAATTGTATCAACATTGAGGTAACATTTCACACACGGGACAGAAGCCACAGCTGTCACATGTGGGGTGGTCTCAGCTGAGAAGGCTTGTTTACATTGTGGGGATTTTGGCTCAATCTCTAGGGTGTGTCTGGTTCAGAAGGGGAGCCTGTTCACACAGGGTCTCTTTAGGCTGAAATGTGGGTCTTTTTGGAAAGTCTGGGGGACTTAACATGTAACTTGTTCAACTGGTAATTAGTTTTTGAGTTATATGTAAAGATTTGAGATTTGAGGCAATGTTCATATGCACTGAATTTGTAATCTTGTATGCTATATGTGCATCACACAGGTTGAAGTAAATACTTTGTGATTTTGAATGTATAGGCATAATAGCGCTGTACATTGAATTTATTTACGAGGAACTCATTGGACTTAACATACGGAAAGAGAATAAAAGTTTGGGTACTTGTAGTTCTTGATATACATTTTAGGACTGCTCAAAGCTGTTTTCCACTAAGAAATTGCATGGAAGTCCACAATGCTCATCTTAAAATGTAAAATCCTGTTTTTTTTTGTTATTTTTAGCAAGTCATGCAGTTGACTCCATTCTGGTTTATGTTGATTGTGTGTGTAATCACATACTTTCAGTTTTTAACTCCTAAGTACCACAAGAGGTTTTGGTGCCCCAAGATCTTGACTAAATCATTGATCTGTACAGTTTGAAGCCATAGGTTAACACTTCTAATGAAGATTTACGCTAACTTCACAAAATACTAACTGACGTGTGTTAGCATGCATGCAAGTGTTGACAAAGCATGCCGAAGTAGGTACCGTATAGGAATATGTTTGATGGCAAACTTAAACAATGTTGATGCGCACTGAAGTACACACGCCCACACGTTTACTGTTTACGCTTGGGCACATGTACACACATCGATTCAAATTAGTACTAAGAAAGAGAGAGCAAGAGAATGAGGGAGAGGAAAAAAATGAGAAAGAAAAAGGGAAAGAGAATGAGAGAGAGAGAAGAATAAGGAAGAGGAATAGGAGAGAGAGAAATTACAAACACACACTGTAGGTCTATTGGCAGTAGCACTGATGATGGATTCCCAGTTGTAACAGTAGCTGAGAACAAATCCTATCTAGTTTAACCTTTTCCTCTCTCGGTATTTATCGCAGTAATTATCTTATTTTGCAGCAATATTATGTTGCACAGTAGGGTGTTAGCTGTCAGCGCTCATTCTGAACCTCATTATTTTTCGTCTCTGTTTGATTTAGTGTAAAGCATTCTTGGAGTTCCTCTTGTAGTACATAGTATTGCATAGTATAATGGGAAGACGTTGGGGCTATTCCCTAGGGACTAGTTTTGGAGGGTTGAGATGTTTTTGCCTTTTTGCTGATATGGTCAAATTGACTCAAATGACTGGGGTCTTTGGAGCTGTAAATTGATTTTGCATTTTGCCAAGAGATTATGCTATGTATACCGAAGTTAAATCACTTGTATGTTGTTTGTTTTTCTTTAAGAGATAAATAATAAGGTGACAGAAATAAAAAAAAAAAAAAAAAACTGGTTGATCTGCAAAACAGGGTCCACTTTCATTTAAAAAAAAACGTCATTCCAAATGTTTTGTCTGAATATTCCTGACCAAAATTTTATGCTGCTCTGACCAGCTATAAAATATTGTGCCTGTTTTTAAACAAAGCATGGCCCATATTTCAGTCTAAATTTGGCTTTGTTTTAGCTGAGTTCTACTAATTTGTCCCAAGCTGAAGTCTGACATCATTTGACCTGAAAGTGAAGGCCAACTTTTTCTGAAACCCACTGGCCTCAGAACTCCTGTTATCATTCTAGTTCTTGTTGTGATCTTGATTGTGAAATGTGTTAGTTGTACCCACTTGCTTCATTTATGTTTTTAGCCCCTAAGAAAATGTGCTACTTGAGCCTGTTTCACAAAAATTCTCTAGTTCTATGTCAGATTTGAAAAATAAGTTTGTTTATTTTGCATAGAACTTGCTTACAATTTAGTTCAGGAATTACTGATACTTCAATATTTTATTTATTTTTGAATATTTTCATCGGAGTATTATTAATATTAATATTGGACTTATTACAGTGGTTCTGGTGACTGGCGCCAGTGGTTTCATAGCAACACACATTGTACAACAATTACAAGAGGAAGGGTACCGCGTCAGGGCCACTGTCAGGTCACTGGATAATGAGGAGAAAGTTCGACATATCAGGGAACTCTGCCCTGAGGCTAAGTATCCCGTTGAACTGGTTGAGGCAGACCTAAACAATTCAGATTGTTGGTCAAGGTATGCATACTATTTATTTATGTATATATTTATTTATTTATTTCTGTGGATGAATATCGGGTGGTTAAAAACCGATCCATTTCTAGATGATGACTCATATTTCATGTGCATGAAATATGTATTGGTCAAAAACAGAAGTCTACGAATTTGTAAGATGCTACTATTATCTGATTTCACATTGATTTATATACTAAATGCATTATCTGTGAATGATATATTTTCCCCATTGAAATATCGGGTCATTACAGTAACATGAATGCTAAACCAATGGTATTATTTGAATTTGATATTTTAGTATTTTCTTCCAGCGCAATCAAAGACTGTACGTACGTTATCCACGTTGCTAGCCCATTCCCTGCAGAGAACCCCAAAGATGAGAACGAGATTATTCGACCGGCTGTAGAGGGCACCACCAGTCTGCTGAAGGCATGCCATGATGCCAGGACAGTCAAAAGGGTGGTGTTGACAAGCTCTGTTGCCGCCATTGCAGGTAGACACTCTTCTATACAGGGATATATATATACATGTGTATAGGTCATATCCATCAAGGCATTTCATTAGCTGTGTTATGTAAAACTACAATATGACAGTTTATTCGATTTCTAAAGTCTGAGTTATTTCTATACTCCTGTATGTCAATGTTTGACAATTAAGAGTAGAAATATTGGCAATGGACTTGAAATAAGTAATTAAAGTGGTTTGAAGAAATATTATTCTAACACTTTGTTCTCATATTTTGCTATAATTTTGGTATGATGGCATACTTCATGAAACATTTTTAAAAGAATGGTTTTTTGTGTATATTTTGTTGTAATTTTTTGTGGATGCAACTGTAAGTAGACTACCATGTAGATTTTTGTTGTAATTCCTGAAATTTGGCTAAATACCTGAAGTATACATGCACTTCATCTCCCTGCTAGACTGTGAATTGTGTGAATTGAAAACGGTTATTGGAGAAATAAAATGTCTTCATTACAGGTACATTTTCCTCTGAACAAAACAAGATATTTACCGAGGATGATTGGACAGATCTGACCAAAGTGGACCCCTACCCTAAGAGTAAGACACTGGCAGAGAAGGCTGCCTGGGACTATGTACAGGGATTGCCAGGTAGGGAGACATGATTTCAGTACATAACAAATAGATGCACCGTAAAATATATTTATAATGTAGCTGTCAGGCCTAATGTATATTGTGTTGATATATCTGGTACACTATAACAGCTAACACACACTGTTAATCTTACCACACCGTCACATCTAACACACTGTCACATCTAACACAC